ATGATCTTGATACAAAGAGAAAGGGTCTAGGTTCTTCCTGAGGCTGCCGCTAAAGAGGACAGAATCCTGGGTTATTACGGCCATGGACCTGCGAGACGCCTGAAGATTGAGATCCTTGATATTCACACCATCTATAATGACCTACGTGATGAATGAAGAAATGCGAGTCAGGATGAGCTATGGATAATAGACTTAACTTTATTTATTATCATATGGCAAGGTAGTCTTGAGATAATTCCGAGCGTTCTGATTGGTTCTTCCTTGGTAAGAATTTTGCCATAAGGACCGTTTCTATGGTTACGGTCATAGGCAGTGTATTGTTTGTTTTCGAAAGCCAGCAAATTGGAGAATTTTGGGGTTTACGTGTCCGGCTGGGCTGAATGTTGGAGATCGATGTATTTTTTTTGTTATCCAATTCACTGTAATCTTATTGATGTGTTAATTAAAACCGTCATTCCAACAGTAGACCGCTAAAAACATCTGGTCTGCATACCATCTGAAAACCGTTGTTTCGTTCGACATAGGCAAACTATTTGCAATTCCCTACTGATAGGTTCTGTTGTGCTAAATGTCACCTGATGTCAAATAAATTAGGACTTGATATAGCTAAAGAAAGTAAAAGTTAACAATTAGCACCAGGTAATAAATATGAAGCTACACAGTATTGACGATTATAGTGAGTTCCTCTTGCTAACGATGAGAGAGCTAACTAAATAACTTATACCCGAAGTAGGATTTTTCTTATATAAGTACCTCTCCTTCAGGTTCTGGCATTCGGAACAAAGCTGTCACTAAAGATGATTTCCCAGCACCAGTGCGACCTGCGACGCCAACTTTCTCCTTATCAGCGATACAGACGCTTATGTTGTTCAAAATTGCCGGCACGCCTTTCAAATAGGTCAATGACAAGTCACGTAATGTCAAGCTGCCCGTTGTCGGCCACTCTTCAGGTGGAAGGGTTTCAGTGCCGTACCCAGGCTCTGGCTCAATTTCGGTGTATGTGAACACCCTCTCTACTGATGTCATGTAACTTTCTGTTTCCGAAGCCACACGGATGCCATATTGTGAGGCTTCTAAAGTCTCGGCTGCAAAGGTGAGAGCCATACCTGCCAAAGCTAAAAACAAAAGCGAAGGCTTTCTTGTTTCCTTTATTTTACATTACTATATGCGATGAAAATGCCTGATGTCTAATTTGGAAGAGATCGAAGAGCAAAAATCAGAAGGATGATGCTCTGTTTTGCCTTGACTTATTTCCTTATATTTATGGCAGTTATTCACGAGTCCCCTGTAGGATCAGATGTATCCAAAGTATTGTTCAAATAGAAAAGCCTATAGTCGTCTTGAAAATTTCTTCGAATTCAGACTGGAATATGTGGTGGAATGGAAAGTGCCCAGTGATTAGGTACTTACCGGGACTTTGTGTTGCTAACAAAGATCCAGCTGACACGGAAGTCACTAGAAAGTTAGTCAGAAGGTCTCCTCTAAACGCGAGCCAAAGTATAGAGGCCTTCAATAATACGAGCGCTGACGTGTTTCTGTCTTGATATCTCCAAAGAAATGAAACAAAAAACGCAGATTAGCTTCATCAAGCTTAACACGTCGAAACGGACTTTTTACGCTACAATAGTCGGTCAAGAATCTGTCTATGAGTAAACCAGTATAGGCTCATCATTACGATAAAGGAAATCATGGTTGGAGTTTTCATCAGTGCTGATCCTCACTCTTTTGTCAAATGTAAAGGTTGTTCACTATACGAAACTTTCTTCATCTATGTTAACAAACCTAGGGATAAATCTCCTGCTCTTTACAAACGTCTTCATAGTTTGCGAAGGTAAACACGCATGTTTAAGGTAGACATGCATGTAACAGTTTGAGTATACACTTACTTGTAAAATTTCTGAAGGAAATCGTCCTCCATCTCTGATGATCGAATTATCTCCAATCCTGTCAAGCTATCAGCAATATGGGAATACACTGGACTGCATGTTATCGCCTCAAGTCGTCTGATCTCCCGGGCGGACCTCAAATAATACTTAGCCAGGTAAATAAACAGAACAGTCAACGGAGTACAAGTGATAAAAAGCCACACATTTGCTACTGCTGAAAGTATGGTAGCACTGAAAAAGTAGAGACACAACTGAATGGCAAAAAGGAATTTTCTTGGAAGGATATCGTCCATGCACCCAACATCTTTAGAGAAGCGGTTTAAGATGCGACCAACTGGATTAGTGTCAAAGAATAGAATTGGTGCTTTCATAACTGCTTTTGTCATCTTGTCATGGAGGTTTTCTGAAGCTTTCAGAGCAGCGAGGTAGAAACCGAACGAGGATATTATCGTAAGAAGTAAGGAGCCCGTAACAATGGATCCGTACACCAAAAGCGTTGTGTAGCTCTTCTGTTGTCCAAATGGCATCTCAGTCATCCGAGAGAGCCACCAGAAGGGCGCTATCAAGAACACTGAAATAAAAAGAAAAGTATGTGTATCATCAAGTTTTGATTTTGGACACAAATCATTTAGGGCTTAGGGGCAATACTTGGAAACAAACAGGTGCGGAAAAAATGCTATAAACAGTAACAATAGAACATCTAAACGACGTATGTTCTGTTAGGTTCTGTGGAAGTTTCGGGCGAGGGCTAAATGTGTCCAAGATTAATTTTAACTAAAAAAAAATGTCTGAATGAGATGCACTTTATTTATAAAAGGATTTTAAAAAGTGCCGGTTTTCATGTGACGTCATCAACTTCCAAAATAAGAAATTAGCAATCCTTGTCAGGTTTTAGTTTCATCAGATGTAAGACCCTCTAATAACTTGACGTTTTGCAACGTTTAAGCCCGACAGAGTTCCTCATTATGTAATGGAGCACGTCGGAATTTCCAAGTTAATGCGTTGCGTGACATTAAAATGGCGGCTCGATAAGGCTGTTGAGTAAGTCAAAAGATGAGTTATTGCTCAAGTTTTTACTAACTAAACAGTTCTTGCTCTAAACAAAATATTAATTTCAATGTATCGGGGCTCTAGAATAATAATGTCTCGTTTCAATGGCAAACTCAATGACAGATGTTTCTGTTACTTTACGGCCGCCATGTTTGTGTCCCTCCGAGGGGCACAAACATGGCGACGCCATACAAAGCTCTATAAATTTGAGTGAAACACCTTTCCGAATAACGCGCGGATGGAAAACCGCACAGACTTAAAACTTGGCCAGGTTATTTATATATCAATCATTCTTCATATCTCAGCTTCTCGACTTAATTTATTGAATGGTTACGATTTTTATTTTTGATGGCGTGGCAAACCAGCCATAAGAAAAAACGCTCAATTCCAGTTACAACAGCAGAAAGAGAGCTTCTTGGTTCAAAAGCGGAAAGGCAAACCCGTGATCGCACAGATGCATTTTGGATGGTCCAGCCACCCAACTATGGGCTAATGGCTCAGCTCTGAAATTAGTGACTCTGGCAACCTACAAGGACATTTGACAGGTGTGAACCTAGGTTCCTCAATGACTTATTTCCTATTCTGTCGTTCGGTGACTCAGAATTCTTCTTTTTAGAGCAGTTAAACTTAACAGCTTCTCCCTATTTATTCACATTATTGAAGCGCCATTCCACCATACATAACTATGAAGCATTTACTTGATAAATGCTGCAATGAATAGACATAGAAAACCTTACATTTTTGAGAACTCTTTGAAAGGTATTCCCGGGATGCCGCTAAAAGTGGTGTGTTCAAGTTTTCCAGTGTATTTTGAGATCTGTCACAGCATGAAAAAAGAGATTTACGGAAAATTAAAGTTGCGTTAATCTTTACGCCAGTTTTACATTGCTTGTTAATGCGCGGAAAGGCAAATTTACGCCGTCGGACGTAAAGCTCGCGTTAAGGCAGCTTAAAGTTGAAAACCAGATTTACGTTCCGTTACGCGCCATGTAAAGTCTGCGTAAAGTTACTCTTACGAGACTATATGTAAAGTTGTTGTAAAGCTAGCATAAATGTGCCTAGTCACTTTTCCGCCTATTTACGTTTTATGTAATAGTTGTGTTAAGCTATACTTTTCGCAAAACAAGTAAAGCTTTCTTGAAACTAGCGCAAGTGGTACATTCCTTTTAAACGAGGATTGTCTCGCAGCTGGTCGCGACCAATCCGTTTCTACGTGTTTTTCACGATGGGGACCAAAAAAAAAAAAAAACTGGGTAAATCCAGGGCTAGGATAAGTGATAAATATTTCTATTTCTCAATAATTGAACCAATATTTTCCCTTTTGCCTCTTTGCCCCATGTTCCAAAGGCTCAGCATCATCTTTAGTTATCCAACGTTTTCGGTATGCACATCGTAATAAGCCTTGCGATGTTTCCGGAAAGGTGCCCTCGATAAATATTCATCGCAATGCCCACACAACAGTCTAGTTTGTCTTCGCAGACAGGAAGACATCCAGTTTTGCAGCGTAAACAAGTGACATGAAGACTACATGAGAACGTGACTGTTGATCGTGACATGACAAAAGCCGCCATCTAGCTTTAGCTAATCACGTACTAGCTGGTAAAAAAGGTCAATAAGAAACTTCTTTTATGGCGGGAACTTTCGGTGGTACACTTTCAGTTGTCGGTGGTTTCTGTCGGCGTGATTAAAGCGATTTTAACGTGATATTTACATGAGTTGTGCGTCCTTTTCGATCTGTTAACCGTTGCATTTGACTGTGTCGTTGTGTGAGGGTTTAACTTTTTGCTTCGTGACCTGACTCCTGATCTTTTACCTCGGCAAAATGGACGACCAATATGTTACGTTGTGCTGCTTGAAAAAGTTATTACTGAAAATATGCACCTGAGAAAAGCAATGGAGGCACGAGATAATGAGCATGGCATCCAAAATGGCGGTCAGGAACTGAAAGATCTAGGAAGATCCAAATCCCGCAACAGTGCTGTGTAAGTATATTCTATCGGTATGTTTTGAACGGCTTGTTGCAAACAAAACGAAAAGAAAATGCATGCAAGTGAGCAAGGTTTAAGTCATGTTCTGCTAATCATTCGGCGGTAACCTTAAGTTTACGTTGATTTTTTTCTCCGCATTCGATTGTTTTGCGTCGTTTTGGTGTGGAAGAAACGTTCAATCGTCGCTTGAATTCAAGCATCGTGTTAGCATTGTAAACAATGTAGGCAGGGGAAAAAACGAGGGGTCTATTAATGACTCTTTGTGTTATGACGAAAGGTGGGGGATAATATTACTTTATTACAATCGAACCTCTATTGAGCGGTCACTAATCAAAGTCAAAAAATCATTGTCAGTAAGATACTGTCAATAACACCCCTATTAACGGGCCATCTTTACCTTTAAGCGGCTGCAGCCCACCACTGGTCCTCCCAATGAGGGTTTTCTATTGCCCTTTACCCCTATTAACCGGCCAACCAAAATTTAACACATGTAGTTTGGCTTTGTTTTGGAAAAGGCAATGACAGATAGTAAGAGTCTGAAATAGAAAGATTAAGTGACGAAAGATCACGTGATTGTCTTCATGTGATTCCATGTTGCCTAAAGCAGGTGTGTAGTTTTAATAAATTGACGTTTCTACTAATTGATCGTCATGGCAATTCCTGATGAACAAAAGTAATTCAGCTTATAGCTGCAAGTTGTGAGTTTAATAAACGATTTATCTATCTATCTACCTTTATTAAGCGGCCAACCTCTATTAAGTAGCCACTTCCCATTTCCTCTTACAAGACATTATACTTGTGTTTGACCGATATGAAAAGAATATTTCGAAAGAAAAATAATGCTGTCTCACTAGCTTTCCTAAAATGTTTCAATGAATTAAAAAAGTGAACTTTCCTGTATTTTCATACCATTACTTTGTTTAGATCAGACTGAAATATCTACATCGACCGGTTAATTGAATAATTTAATCAAACAATGAATTATTATTTCATTCACCCTTGTTAGATACGAGGTGATTGTAACTAACTTGGCGCTATGTGCCTAGTTTGTTAATTATCACCTCGTATCCAACCAACTTGGGTTCTCGAAATAACATTGAGGAATATTCTCAGTTCAGGGAAGGAAGAATGAGAGACTCATTTTTTCCTTGTTTATTACAGCAAGACTTTAAAAAGATTTACAAACCACCGCAAACGAATGACGTTTTAATTTTGAAGGCTTTAAGTTGGAGAAGAGTTACTGCAATAGCCATAAAATTACACTTATCCATGAACAGTTTACATCTGTCGGTAGAGGAGGGCACCCACACTGTGGTACTAGACTTTGTACAAATAGTACATTGCACTTTTTATATCCTCTAAATGCAGGGAATGACATGGACTAAAAATTACTGCTTACCCTGAACAATTGCGAAGAACACAGTAAGACTGACTATCAAAACCGTTGGGAGAGCAGCTCTTAAGTATTTCCAGTACAACCACCACTTAACGGTTCCAACCATTCTGTCCTCCGCTTCATCTTCCAGATCTACCCTGTCATGGTGTTCTCTAGCGGAATTCATCGATTTCAAGGTATCTTCACTGAATACCGAAAACCTCTCGTCATTGTTTTGCTCGCCATTGAAATCTTTCTTTCCTTGAGATACAAAGTAAGAAGCAACTTGCTTGTCCTTTTTCATTCGACTGTACGTTCCTTCGCAGACAACGGAGCCATTCCGCAGAATAACAATGCTGTCTGTTTCTTTCAAAAACTGCAACTGATGAGTGACCAGAATACGCATTCGCCCGTCTAAGAACTCTTTGATGCATCTATCAAACAAATGTTTACCGACCTTGGCATCCACTGCACTGAATGGATCATCCAATAAGTAGATGTCCGCATCTGAGTAGATTGCACGTGCCAAACTAACTCGTGCACGCTGACCACCACTTAGGATCGCTCCACGTTGTCCAATCTCAGTTAGATCACGTTTCGTAAAGCTTGCTAAATCTTTCTCCAAGTCACAAACATCGATAACCTTATTGTACTTTTGCTCATGGAACTCTTTGCCAAAAACGATGTTGTCTCGCACAGTACCAGAATAGACCCATGGCGTTTGGGAGACAAAAGCTATTTTTCCAATACAAGAAATTTTGCCAGAGGAGATTGGGATTTCACCTAAGATGGTCATCAACAATGACGTTTTGCCGCTTCCAACTGGCCCTGTTATGCCCACAAGTTGCCCATTAGTGGCACTCAATGACACATTATCTAAAGTAGGAAGCTCTGACGTATGGCTCCAAACACATGTAACATTCTCAAGAGATACCTGTGGATTGATGTCCTGACATGTTTGTTCCAGTTTCTGAGCACTAAGCAAAGCCGGTTTTCCATTTCGAAGGCTCTCAATTCTAATAAATTGGGGTTTATACTTTCTACCTTTGAAGTAAACCTCTAAAGTAGAGGGATTGTCTTGGTAATCCAGTTTGCGCGTTGGCATGGATTTCTTTTCTATTACGTTTTGCATCCTACTGCATGCAGTTCTTGCATCGGCAATGTAGCGTAATGCATCTGCTATAAAGATCGTGACTACCATCTTTATGTTAGTTAAGAGAGTGAGCAATGTAAAGACTTGAAACGACGTCAGCGAAGCATCTTTGAAAAGCAGAGTCGTGACTGAAATGAATCCTGCCATGGCTGAGCTAGAGAAGAACAGGGCGTAGATACTGGAGACAAGAAACCCTCGGATACGAATCAGTGAGATTTCCTTTCTGTCAAAATGAAAATTGAAACACATTGTGTCAATAATACGACATCAAAACTTTCACTGGTCTCAAAACGTTAAAAACAGGGAAGATATTTCAGTCTCTGGTCTCTGTAGTTTTAAGTAACCATACTCACAAAGTAGTTTTTTTGAGCCAGCCCGTGATATGTCAAATTTTTTCTCGCATTTTGATTGGTCCTTACTTATGATCTATTGCGGGACAGACGCATAGATGACGTCTAGAGACATTCCATGTAGCCGTGGGTCTGTTCAGTACTAGATTACGGAAGACGTCAAAATGGCAAGAACATCAGTGACACACTGGCCTAACGGCTCTTGCGTCACTTTTTTAATCTTACCGCATTTTGACGTCATCTGTGACGCACGACAACATGGAATCTATTTATTACATGGAAAACGATGAGAGAACCAATACAACTCGCGGAATTCCAATAGAACATGGCTGGGTAGCTTTTTAATTGCTGATAATTATGTTCGACTTTAGGCTCAAAAACGCCAACATCGTTGGTTTTTGAATATCAATGTCAGTTGCTGTCGTTTTTAATGAGCGATAGTAAACTCGGATGAGCAACGTTGAGTATTCGCTCAAGTGGCGGGCGTTTAGCCTAACTGATTGGAAAGGCACCAATTTAGACACTAACCTCCTTATTTGGGCAACAAGGTCTCTAAAGTTCCATTCCCAGGCGTACATCTTAACCACGCGGATTCCTGTAATGATCTCTTTCATAATCTTCAATCGTTTGTCGGTCACAGCAGCGGACTGTTGGCGTATCTTTCCGGCCTTGTGAGCTGCAAATGATCCATACGCAACAACAAGAAGAAAGAAAGAAGCTCCTATTAAGGCTTGCCATGCGACTAAGTACCACACAAGAACCATGGAGGCAACAATGTCCAGTGGAACAAATGAAAGCTCAAAAATACCAAAACCCATTTTCTCAATGGCTTGAGCATCGTTGGAAACAAGATTGATAGTGTTTTCTGAAATGGTATCTTCTAAAGTACTTCTATTTAGGCTACGAATCTGGAAAAGAAGGAAAATACAATATGTCTTATTTTATAATCAGAGGTTGCAGCCGTTTTCGATTGAGTCTCATCAGACTGAAACCAAAGTAATCACACCGACTGATCACAAATGACACAGAAAAGCCAGTGAAAAAGTCAAAACCCAAAGCAAATACATGTGTCCGACGCAAAGCGCGGGAAAACGTTTGCGAGCGGGTCGCGATTGGTTTCAGTTTTCCTTCGATTCTGACAGGACGACAAAGTGGCGCCTGTTTTTTAAGCCAATTTCCTGACGTGGGAATGCAAAACCAAGTAAATACCTCAGTAAGCTGTTGATACCGTCGAGATGATTTAACAGGGAACTTAAGCAACGACGACAAATTAGCTGTCGTCGTTCGCGTTCCTCAGACTACGCAAAACTCGGTCATTTCGCGTTCTTGTTTTGCAGAGGACGGCAAAGAAATGTGTAAAGATTTATAACGCACGTGCGCAGCTATTGTTTCGCTCATCAAACCTTTTGTTTGGTGACCAAGCCCGCTCCCAGACTCTCTGTCCTCTGTCCTCTGCCTCCCTTGTCTTTGGGGGAAAGGCCCTGGTCGCACTGGTCACGTGACCACCCAGAATATGGGTGATAAAAAAATCTGTTGGGCGGGAGGGGTGGCAGAGTGTTTTGATTTTTGCTGTGACAAACTCAGTGGGTTTCAAATCCTCAAGCAGTCGCCAAACGCTACCCTCTTTATCGGGATTCGAAGTCGCATTTTGCCGAGGAATAATGCTACATTATTTCAGCCGTCTTCAAAATCTAGAAGACTTTCGTTCACAAAGAAACTCGGCAGCCGAATGGAGCACAAATCTGACACAGACTTTTCGACGGTTTGCACATGTCTCTTGATATCTTTGATTTCGGAGGTAATTTATTTATTGTTTGTGCGGTGTCTTGGATGTTAAAAGGTGTTAAGTACTGAAGCTGTAATAAACACAAGTACAACGCTACATCGAGCACATGGCGGACCTGATCCAAGAGCGCGTAGATCTGACGCAACAGCACGTAAACGAGGCTACTAACGTACCCAGACTCTTGTCGGCGAGAGTACAAAATATACCACAAAAAGTATTTGTCATACGGCAGATTAGCCGAGTGTCCTGACTCGATTTACAGCAGTGCATTTGTCGACATAAGCGCACTTACATATTTCATGTGCATTAGGTTTATGAAAGTTTACATTTAGACAGATGTATAAAACACGGTTCCTTGGCATAGTCAAGAATTATATTTTGCAAAATGGTAAATAAAACATAGTTCTATATGGCGAACAATGTGCCGAGAGGTTAGTTCAGGTAACATGAAACAGCGAAACAGGTTTACCTCTTAGTAAATCGACCGGCTGGAATTGAAATCAAAGTGATACCTCAATACGCTGGATATGTATAAATATATTTCGTTTGACCTGTGTGAAGCTTAGAATACGGACTGGAAAATTTCAAAGGTGTATTTGTCCCTGTGTAGTTCAATAAAGCGATGACCAGCGATCGCTTTTCTTTCGCTTCAGTTGAGATCGACAAAAATTATTCGTATACTCTACCTCGGTGGAAACGTTTGTGTTTGTGTCACAGGTGGTTTCGTGACAAGCCGCAACCAGGGTATTTTTCCCAACGACAAAGGGAGGCAGGGGAGAGAGAAATTACCATGTCATGTGCATATATCAAGTACAAATGATAGCTTTTCCTTTCGAGTTACGCCTTATTAGAGCCAGATTTCTGATCAAAATTACTTGCCTTTTTATACACTAGTCCAGTAATGGCTACTTTCAGTTTGGTCGATATCATATCCATCTTGAAGACCCCATGATTTGAGCATGAAGTCCTTATGAAGGTAACGAGAGAAATACCAATAACAAACGGCAGCGTTGCTGTGTAATTGATTTCTGTAGAAGTGGAAATGCTTTTCAAGAAGAACCACACAATCAAAGGAAAAATACTAAATGCTATAGAATGAAATAGCCTGAGGAACGCTACAATGACATAGTCTCTGCAGGGAATAACTCTCATCATGGCCCTCCACAGGCGAGGCTTTGTTCGGTTCTGTTCAGACGCTCTTTCCTCTGCCAGCCATTCCCTCTCCAAGTCAGCCACCAACCTTTCTGCTTGATTGGACGTTTCCACTGGAAACAAGTGTTTCTCTTCTAATGGTTGTTTGCTTCCGAGTTTCAGAACATCGTTTATCCAGGAAGCAGTCAGCTGCGAGAGAAAACTTGCCTGGTCTCTCGGATTACGAACGAGAGTATCTTCCATTTCTCAATTACAATGGCCTTCTGCGGAACCTGAGAGAAGTAGGTGAGAAAGAAAGAAAGAAAGACAAGCAAAGTTACAAACGCAAATCCTTTTGTACTCGTCTTTGACTCTCTACGTGCAGATCATTTATTGGTTCAAATCGTCAAGAGGTATAAATAGTTCTTACAATATTTTACTTGGCTCATGAAAATCTCATAACCTTAGAGAGAATAAGAATTTTAATAGTTTGATCGGTGTAGGTTTTTACTTGAGGTATGAAAATTGGCCTGGCTCATGAAACCTGAGCTTAAAGAGAAAGAGAGATTTCAATAGTTTTATCGGTGCTTTGTGCTGTTTGTTTCTACATGGGTGCGGCTCGGTTCTTTTCTCTTGCGGATATGTTCTTACAATACGAAACAATGTTTTGCTTCGATTTTCTTTTCTTTAGACATTTTAAATCCATTCTCTGTTGCAAAAACGATGACGATCCTTTTAAGAACCGGCTTTGGGTCATTTTAATGAGGCGAATCTCCGGAAATTTCTAACTGAAACTCACATTGAATCAGACCGTGATTAACACATTCTTGTCCCCAAAACCACCTTTCGCTCTCTACCAGAGCGGCCTTGACACGGGGAAAACGTGATCCGAAACAAACATGATTCGATTGGCTGAATCTTGGACTAAGATTGTTACTACACTTGTAGATTCAACGCCCAGTTCTTTACTGGTTGATTTCTCCCTAAAATCGTTCGATTACAAAAGATCACTAAGCTTGTGTAACTCCCATACTAAGCTTTATGTTACGGTATTTTTAGAGATCGGTCTTCTTTTCCCGCGAAATAGGTCAGTTTAGATCTTCACGAGCGCGTATATGTCTGCCCATTCTTTTTAGCCCTTATGGTTATTTTGGGCAGGCAGTACTCTATACTAATTTAATGTTTATTGTAATTATTTTATAAATTGCGAGTACAAATAAATGGTTGTTGTTGTTGTTGTTGTTGTTGCCTCAGGTTGTTTTTGCTTGAATCTTCCGGTGAAATGATGACGGAAACTAACGTGAGAATAGATCTTAATAACAAAAATCGACAACAATCGATATTCCTGAAGACAGGAATAATCGATTGCTAACGATTTCTGTCAATCGATTGATTTCCGATATCGATTTTTATCGATTAACTACGTCTGGTTTCACATATCAATATTCTAACAGGGCTTCGAGGCTTTCGGGTCAAAATTGTAAATTTTTTCAGTTTCTTTTGTCTCTCAATTCCCAAAAGAGACTTGGATGCAAAGAAAACAACACCAAATATAGAAGTTTTTCCTGAAAGCCTCGGAGCCATGTTAGAATATTGATATATCGAACGTGGCCTATTGAAGAACAGTTTTTCAGTGAATCATGACCAATAGGCCCTTTGCAGCTGGGGTCACGGGACCAAATTTTTCCTAGAAAATTTTTATATTATGGGCTATAACTTGAAGAATGCTAGAAATGGAAAGAGCGCATCGAAAATATCAAAATGGCCAAGTTTGAGGCCCCTGACATTAAAGAGTAAGTTTATACGACCGTTTGAATTTTCGGAAAATTTAGAGGATTTGTATGGAAGTTGTTGCTGGAGAGCAAGGTCTTGCTCTCCAACAACTTTTTCCATACAGATCTTCTTATTCTTTTAAAAATTCAGACTGTCATAAAATCTCATTCTTTAATGATGGGGGCCTCAAACTTAGCCATTCTGATATTTTCGACATGCTTTTTCCATTTCTGGCATTCGTTAAGTTATAGCCCATAATTTTATGAAAAATAGGTCACGTGATGGCTTAGTTGCAAAGGGCCTATTACCATGTTAGGCTATTGTGTTTTGAAAGTATTGCGCTAAACGATCCCTCCGTTGGACCACTATTGTAATGAAAAATAATAACCATTTATAATCTAACCACGATAGCATCTATTTCTTACATCATAACCTAAGTTAATTAGTAACAGTGACTGGACCGAGTGGAATACAATTCAGGTAGTAATCGCGCGAGTAATTTCAAAATCGGACGAGCGCGAAGCGGAAGGCCGATTTGAAACTACAAGCACGATTACTCCCTGAATTGTACGACAGGTGGTCTAATTACTAATTAATCGTATCTATAACAAATTTTGGAATTAAAAATGTCTTTTGAAAACTTCTTTTGAGCGAAAACGTATGTAACGCGTTTCATAAGTTTTGAAAACTGTAGGAAACATTGCAAAGAAAGCCATTAAAGCGCGCGCAATTGACGGGCGAATCACGAGGGTATCCAATTACAGGAGTCCAATTACAAAAAGTTCAAATTGGATACCTGTAATTGGACACCCACGTGATTGCGCGGCGACTGCGTGGCAAATAGGCGCGCGGAGAACCAATCACGATCGAGAATTTTGTTATAGATACGATTACACCCATAAAACGGCAGACGCACAATCAATCGTATGGAAATGTTCAGTTTCTGGCATGAGGCAAACCAATTTCGTTGTTAGGTTATGAACCAGGCGAAGTCAATCGATAAACCAGTAATCGATATCAATCGATAACAATCGATATCAATCGATAACAATCGATACCAATCGAAGATTGATATCGATTGCCGTAACAATCAATGAAAATCGATGAAGAAAAAAAGTTGTGAGTTCGATTGTTATCGATTGCCGATAGTAATCGATTAAGGATTGATTCGATTGGTATCGAGTGTTATCGTAAATTATTTTTGTCCTTTTACAAGTTACACTGATAGAATGTTTGACAAAATTTGTGTGTAATGGTTTTAATGAGTCATTTTATCATAACCTGCGTATCTTTTACAATCATCAACAAAATAACGAGAACAGAAACAACTAACAGAAACATTTTGGGCTTTAAATCTTTCTTTGGAAGAAGCCCAGGCCAGAGTAGCAGTGCAAAACCGTCCAGTCTCATTGTAGCGTCGGCAGAGTCAGAGTCAGTGTTCTACTGACTTCAGGAATTATTTCAGTAATTTACATTAGGAAGCAAACGCGAGAATAGCTCTCGGAGTAGGCCAGAAGGAATTACACGGTGGCGAGAAGATATGAATTTTATGTTCGAGTCGCAAGAATAACTTCTCACTCGTTCGCAGCGCTCACCCGTGAAATATTGTTCTTGCTACGAGAACATAAAATTCATATCTTTGGGCTAACTTACAATGTTCTTTCTATTATATAGACATACCGATAACGGCGTTCTTGACGATTTTGCGAAGATTTCTGACCTCTTTCCAAAGGTTTCCGAAGATTCTCCAAAACTTGTCCGAAGGCCACACGAACGTTGCCGAACATTTCGGAAAATTTTCGAAGATTGCCGAAGATTGCCGAAGATTGCCGTAGAATTTCGAGGAAGACCCGAGGATGCTTCGATGATACACGAACGAATTTAAGTACAAGTTGAGAAACAAACTTGATATCAGTGAAATCTTCGATGTCTTCACTAGTGAGGATATGGAAAATGCGCCACTCGAGTCTCGGATATGGTTTCGTATGAATTTTACGAGTGGTGCATTTTCCAGTATGCATTCGTGTCTATATAATAAAATCTATTGGCATGGCAGTAATCACTTTGCCGCCATAAATATTTACCAGGAACAATACATGTAGAAGAAGAAGTAGTTTTCAGGATGCAGTCGATAGCGCAACAATGAACGGACATGCCAAGATTCTGCTTAAGACCCCAGAATACCTGGAGAAGAGATCACTCCACCTGGACTTTGAATCCTTAGTTTAAAATCGTCATGTTATGTCATGTCAGTAAAAATGCTGAAGATGAACACCTGTCTCGTGTTGTTCCAGGTACTATTTTACGCAATAATAAAGCCATCTTTGAATAGTCTGGGTGGTTATTGTCGATTTTTATTGTCGGCTATTGTCGATTTTTGTCGGAAACAAACGTAAGAATAGATTTCAATAACAATTTTCGACAACAATCGATATTTCTCAAGACAGGAAGTATCGACTGTTATCGATTTTTGCCAATCGATAGCAAGCGGCAATTGATAGCGATTGAATCGAATGATTTCCGATATCGATTTTTATCGATTGACTACGTCTGAAGGACCGTCGATAAAATCAATTAGAAAACACGCTTTTACTTCTTAGTGGACTAAGTAAGTAAGTAAGTAACCTTTANACGTTTTTTTCCTGCCCAAGTCTTTCTTCGCGTGTGTTTAGACGTGATCCGATATATAATGACCTTGTTTTGTTCCAGATTATTGGCGTCAGTGGAGTCCGCCATCATTTAAAAGCATCGGGAATGACTATTATTTTAAAGCACTATTAATATCGTGACTTCATTTTAAAGCTTGTCTCATATTCCTTTCTGGTTTATGTTTTATTTAATATCATCGACATGTCACTGAAACAGATTATGACGCCTTCCCTGGCCGCAAGAGGAAGAACCCTAATAAGAGTATGTAAGGAATGCTAGGAAAATTTCCTACCATTTCTCTGCGGTACTTACAGTACAAGCCCCGTGTGTTCCGTCATGCACGCATGCGATGCATGTTTTCGTGCAGCGTGTAACATGCGTTAAACAGATGAATAAGTAAATTGTAATGTAATTTTTTTTGGAAGGCCAACGCGTCAAGTAAAACAAAAATTATTTTTGCAGACGTAATTCTCAACTGAACCCCGTAGTGTAGAGTGGTGTAGAAGAGAGACTGGTTAGCGAGAGGTATGCGAAAGGTAAGTGGTTCAAGAGCTGATGTTGTAAGTAAGTAAGTAAGTAAGTAAGTAAGTAAGTAAGTAACCTTTATTTAAACACGATAAGTAATTAAGCTTGCAGCTTGTGGGGTCGTGTGTAAATAAACAATAAAGAATAATCATAAAATAAAAGTTAAAAGAAAAGAAAAGAAATGCGTACGGAGCCTGGGTAATATGGAGAAGAAAAAGAGAGAAGAATTGAGCTAGGGGAAGAAGAGAATCGGCGAAAAGACAGCGCGCGATAGCGCAATAAAATCCTCTTTTATTCATTATCAGTGTATATATTCAATACCTTAGGGAGTCGCTACTGTCTTGAAAAACAATAGAGCGCATACATAATTTATTCTTCTTCATGCATAATACATGTATGGGGTTATACGGAAATTTTTCCGGGGATATTTCTGACAGTATAGACAAACTGAATAAATCTAAATTCTCGCGAGATTCGTAGGTTGAATATTAGGTCGTTTTTTAATCGATGTTGCCTTTGGCGTTCTTGCCGTAAACTGTTTTTGCTGCTTGGGCAGAGAGCGTCTTGCCAAGCTTGTGTTTGGGCATTTGTTTGCTTTGCACTCCGTTGTCTACTCATTTCTCTTCCTTTCATTCAGTTGTTATTGTTTGTGCAGGGGACATCCTTCTCTTATTTAAACTCCTATCCTATCCTATCCTATCCTATATCTCTTTATGCCATAAGGCACATAAGGCTTTGACATTCTCTTTCCAAACCACTACGGTTTGCTGCGAGGTTTTTGACATTCGCCCATGACTGCCACCCAGCTGTTTTCTTTTCATTTTCAACCATTCTCCTCCATGTTGTTTCGGGTCGGCCAGGCCTTCTTTTCCCTTCTGGCTTCCATTCCAAAGCTGTGACGCAATGTTCCTCTTTGTCTTTCCCCATTATATGTCCAATCCAATTCCATCTTCTACGTCTGATTTCTTCGCTCGTTCTGTTCACTCCTGTGTTCTCCTTAATTTGTTGGTGGTAGATGGTCTGAGGCCACCTTATTCTTAAAATCCTCTTCATGCACTTGTATTGGAAACCGTCCAGCTTCTTTGCTTCTGTTTTCGTAAGTTTCCAAGTTTCACAGCCATACGTCAAAACTGACCTAACAATTGTTTTAAACAATTGTACCTTCGTCTTTCTGCCAATCTCACTGGTGCCCCATATTCTTCACATCCTATAAAAAGCCTGTCTAGCTTTACTCAGCCTATGCCGTATGTTCTTGGTTGTTCCACCTTCTTTGTCCAGCAGTGCGGCTAAATACACAAACTCTTCCACCTCTTCTACCTGTTCACCATTAATCTCTATTCGTTGGTCGTTTTTGGCATTCACCCACATGACTTTTGACTTCTTTGCATTGATCTTAAGACCGACTCTTGCAGCTTCATCAGCTAGTCTGTTGGTCTTATCTCTTATGTCGACGTACCTAGACGACAACAAAGCGATGTCGTCTGCAAAGTCTAGGTCTTCTAAGATCGAGGTGAACTTCCATCGTATACCAGTTCTTCTACCTTCCGTAGTTCTGCTCATGACCCAGTCAATTGCA